CAGAATGAATAGAGCCATTTATGCCCTTAACAGCAAACAGTAAGGTGATACAAACCACATAACCTCAAATTTCCAGTGGCCAGAAGTGGTATAAGAATGTCTCACACATACAGTATTTTTTTTGTTTTGTTTTTTTAAGTATTAGAATATAATAATACAGCAGACCCTTCAAAGCAGTGAAAGATGTTCTCTGCAGTTTTGGTTGATAACTACCATATAGTATAAGAGTAAATTTATTTCGCTCACACTTAATACATTTTCAATTCAGAGCACATTTATGTCAACTTGATGATTTAGGTGACGGGATTAGGAAGGATTGTGCTAAAAGAGGAAGAATGTGCATACCTTTTCATGGATAGATGAAATGGTACAGAATAGTTTTTAAGCTTTTACCTACCTACCTGACGGAGACACTTTAACAGCCCATTTGCCAGTGGTCGGCAATAGGCGGCACGCGGGCCAAAGTTGGTCCACCAGCAATAATATCTGGCCCGTGGCCAGATTAATGTGATAGCGGCAAAAAAAACCTAATAGCGGCTATTGCTGAAACAGATCTCAGAACCCATTGAACGGGAGTCCTGTGCATTACTGACTGAGCTAACAAGGCACACAGTAAATAATGGATCATAATAATCAATTGACCATGTTCTGGCCCGCCACCTACTGACCCGATGCCAGACTTATTTGCCGACCCCTGCCATATGCTGTAACTGGGAACTGAACCTGGCCTTGTGTTACCTTCCACCCTGTATTAAACAGGTATTAAAAGTGTATCTTAAAGTAACAAGGTGTTTTCTTCATTTTTATGGTTCTGTTAGGTTTTGAGGGTGCAGCTGTTTCACATGAAAAATCTCCTGAAGACCTGTCGCTTTGCTAAAGAGTAAGATGCGTTTGTTATTTTAGTTTCACACTAATTTCAAAATATTTGTGTGTAAAATTATGCTCCCTGCGCAGACGGATCTCACCTTTTTGTGTGTTTGTGTGTTCTTTAGGTTGCTGGACCTGTTTGACAGCCTGCCAGGTCACCTGACAGAGGACCTTCACCTCTTCTCCATCAATGACCTCACTGCTGTGCGCAACGGTGATCTGGCTCCCCGGATGAAAGAGCTGCTTAAACTTGGTACCACGCACGTAGCTGGCTGTGTGGTAAGATAACCATGTCTTCTCTTTTAACATGGAGAGTTAATTTATCGCAGTGATGAAGTCTGAAACGGGCTATCATACAGCAACAGAAACTGTTGTAATGTCAGCAGATAACCAGAGATCCCCAGTTTAAGTTTAATCAAATGTCTGGTCCTTCTGTCACTTTTGCCTCGGTTTCTCCCAGCTGTGCCAGGCGAAGGGCTTTGTGTGCGAGTTCTGCAGCAACGACAAAGACATCATCTTCCCCTTCCAGCTGAACAAGTGCCAGCGCTGCGAAGGTGAGCCCTTTCTGCTGTTGGGCGGCTCAAGAGCCCCCTTATCCCGCCTCGCCATTCCACTTACCTGGAGAGACTGGAAGATCTCCAAACCTCGTAGGCTGGCAAGGGTCCTCCTCCAAGACAGGAAAGATGGGGAGGGAGGGGAGGAAGATGTAGAGCTAGATGTGGATCAGGGCACAGCAGAAGAGAGGCAGGGAAGAGGGAAAACATTTCAAGCTTTCACTCCCGGAAAGCTAGTGAAAGCTTTCTCCAGAAGTAAAGGCAATAAGGAGGAGCAGGAGATGACAGGAGGTACAGAGTCAGAGAGGGAGAAAGAGACAAAGTGTTGTAGAGGAGAAGAGGGAGGAAATGGTCAATATGGGGAGGTACATAGCAAAAAGATGGCAAACAGTAAGGAAAGGGGAGATGGGCATGCAAGAAGGTACAAAGTTAACTTATTAAAGGTTCTTCACATAGACAGACTAAAGAAGAACATCTCTAAAGGAGACAGAAGGGGCAGTGACAGTGAAACATGCAGCAGCGTGGAAAGTCTAGATGAAGTAGGACGAGAGAGGAAGGTACATTGGATGGTATCCGGGTTCACAAAAAAAGAGATGGAGGACGAAGCGAAAACAGAAGTGAAAGGGGCTGTTATCACTAGAGGGGGTGGCAAGGGGGAGAGTGATAGAAACAGGGGGAGTGATGGAAAAAGTGAGATGGATACTAAGGAGGAAGAGCCAGCCACCATAACCGAGACTAACTGGAGAGGTTTTAAAACTCGCAAAGCCAGGAGAGTATACAGAGGCAGAAAGATAAGAGAAGGGACAGAAAAAGAGAGCAGGACAGAAGGCAGAGATGGAGAAAGTAGATTATTGTTCTGAGAGAGGGGAGGACAAGAGTAAGAGCAAGATGATAATTATACAGTATCAGCCAAGTTACAGTACACTAAATAGCTGGAATAAAACGGAAGCTCGTATTTCTTGAGATACGAATGACTGACTGATGACAGTTAACGTTAAGAGGGCTTCAGGATTAAGCATATCATATCAAGCAACAGTGAAAAGAGTTTACTAGGTTTACAGTGGTTTTATTTAGTCCACTCATGTTTTACATATATTGAGCAGCTTTATAATCTGCAAAATTGCAACTACATTGACAATATAGAATATTATCTATCTATCTATCGATTTTGACCAACATCTTGGCAGTATTAATGTTTTAACAATTACTTGTAAAAAGTGTAAAATAGTGAACATTAAAGGAATAGTTTTGGGAAATTTGCTTTCTCGCCGAGTCAGATGAGGAGATTGTCATGTCTATGTGGAAAATATCAGCTGGAGTCAGGAGCTGCTTAGCTTAGCTTAGCGTAAGCCTGGAAACGGGGGAAACAGCTAGCCTGGCACTGTCCAGTGGTAACAAAATTCGCACCAAATCAGCACCAGTTAACATATCGTACCTGGTTTGTTTAATCTTTACTAAAAACAAAGTGTAAAAATTACATGTTGTTGTTTAATGGGGGTTTGTGCACGATTTGTTGGCTGGGTGTAGTCACTTCCTCCTGACTGTATATTTAGACTCTGTATTTAGCAGCTGGTGTGAAAAGGGCGTATCAATCCTTCTCATCTTGGCTTTCCAAAATGTTGAATGCCAAAATAACTATTCCTTTAAGTATTTAAATGTTGTAAGAATGTAAACGGTTATTTGGGCACTCCTACCTCTGTTCTTCCTCCCTCTTTAATCTAACTTTTTACAACCTTTTAACCGTCTGGTGGTATGTAGCATTTTGCACACTTCTTCTGCTGTTCTCATTTGGCACTGAGCTCCTTGCACTAAACATTTCATGGCTTTGGCTCTGACGTTTGCACAGTTGCACAACTGGTGGAGGGTAGATATTTGGCAGATATTTGGTGGTGGATGCTTCTTTCGTTTTGATTCTGGAGGTGTTGGTGTGTTAAGCTTGACGACTGGCACTGGAGTTGCCGTCAGTGGTTTCATTTTCTTGTTATTGGCTCTGAGCTCTGTACGGCTTTTGACTTGGGACAAAACAGTATGACAAATGATACCAAAGTGGTGTGACACTCATAAGTGTTTACATTTCAGTTTGCGTCGGTCATGAATTTCAGTTTGGACGTCTGTAAGAATAATCTGTTACACATGTTCCCCTTGAGCCAGTGGTGGGGTCTGTTTTCATTCCAACCAAACACTATATTTAGCTGATTTTGCTAATCAGTTGATCCCTCTGTGAAATCAGCAGTGTTGTTTCATTTAAATGGAGCTTGGAGGAAACAATGCTTGTTGTTGCGCTGCCTCATCATGCGATTGCCTCATCATGTGATTGTTTTTAAGCCATTTTGTTTTTTATTTCGATTTTTGTTGAAGGAAGAATGTCTTATGATGCAAGGTGACTACATGTGTCTGAATGAATGTGTACTTTATGCTTTTATTTTATTTCAGATCTGCCTGCTAATATTTAAGCTTCATCTTCATGTGAACATGAAATAAACACTGTTTTTGAATTTGAGTTGCCTGTCATTTTATCTATCTTTCATTAAAAAAATTTTGTGGTGGTGGGGTGGCGTAGAAATCATTCAAGATTCTGTTGTTGCAGAGTAGTGAAGACATTGAAGGGTTTTAAAGCACTCTGGTGGCCTCTTTTGGAAGAATGGGATAAGTCTGAACGGGTTCAGGGTGAGGCGTGTTTGCCAGAAAAGCTTCTCACATTCCCGCTTCGTCCTGCCTTCTGCCTTCTGCCTTTATCTTGTCTGTCTTTTATACTCTTCACACCCTTCCCTCAGATCTGAGTGTGATTGGCTGACATGTCATTGTCAGCAAACTGATCTAACTGGTTAGCATTTGTGAACACTGCAGCATTGTTTGGTTTAGGCGATGGAGCTGATTTGTGTTGTAAACGCTTTAAAGTGTCACTGACCCTTGTTTCTGTGACGTTTCTCCCCTTTTCAGAATGCCATGCGTGTTACCATCGCAGCTGCTTCCGGACAGGTAAAGACTGTCCTCGATGTCAGCGTCTGGCAGAGCGGAGAGAGAGAATGGCACGCAAAAACATGGAGGAACAAGAAGACGAGGGAGGCGGGACCTAGTGCTGGGGACAGAAGAAACTCGGAGACAAACGAAGTAGAGCACAAATCGACCATGATTGTAGTGGCTGACCGCCTCTTTCCGTTCCAGACCTGGGTGACAATACTCACTGCAAACAGATCTTTTGAATCTCAATAAATTGACAGATGAGAAGGTTTTACTACATCAGGGCATTAGTTGTGTTAATGTCATGACAGTCAGGAGCATTTAGTGTGAGCTAAGCCCCCTTCACACAAGCACTTAACTCTGTGAATTGTGGTGGTTTCTTTGTGTCAGCTTCATATTTATAGGAGACTGAATCGATTTTCCATGAAAATGTAGTGACTTTTACAGAGAAATGTCTCAGGCTGTGCAATTTTCTAATGTCTGTAATGGAACAGCTTTAAAACTATATTCCAACTTTTTTTCTTTAACATTTTTCTTTAATAGGTTCATCCTCAATATTTAATTCCTAAACCAATTTATAAATTACATTTCCTCGCACATAATAATAATGTAGGATTTGGAAATTTCTGACTTTGGGGACTCCTAGTGGCAGTAAAAAAAACCTCAACAACCCAGCAATCTCCGTTGTTTCATTAATATGTTTTAAAATTAATTTTTTCACTGGCCTGTGAGAGGAGTAAGAACACTTTTCTTCTTTGTGTCATTCTTTTTCTTTTGTTTTCACCTTTTTTGAGCAGCGCTGCACCTGTGATGCACAGTCCAGAAAGGTTGTTCTGTAGGAGAAATCAGCTGTCAACACTTTGAGAAGTAGATCAGACACATTTGCTTGGACTATTTTACCCAGGTTTGATATTACTTACAATGCAGCTTCTGGCAACTGCTTGAACTCTGGTGATTTTATCGGCTACTGGCTTAGCTAGTTTTTTTTTGTGACTTAAAATGGCAGGAAATATATATATATTTTTAATTCAAATGACAAGTAAAAGTTTAGTTCTCTTTTATGATTTCACTGGTTTTCAGTGCAGACACTGTATTTGCGCAATCCTGCCCTTTGTGCTGAGGTTTTTATTTTAATTAGAAAATACTAAAGATATTTAACTAATCTTTCTTTCTACCCGCTCCTTACTGTCCTGTTTTAAGCTGTTTTAGTCAGGCTTATGTGCCTCTGGGACCAATGAACTTATACTGGTGGAGCAGACGGAGTTACATTGGAAAGTTAAATTTACTGAAGGACTGGACTTCAGAAAGGGGTTTTACAGTCAGTGTTGCTAATGAAACTGCAGATCCTCCATTTTTGTGCTGCTTTGTGTGTGTGTGTGTGGTTACTAGAAGAAGCTGTGTGAATAAGAGTGCTTGTATTTGTATGTGCACACATGTCTACCTGCTGTACATGCAGCCATGCACAAATGGTTTGCACCAGCCTAATCAGCACTTGCCTGTTTTCTAATGTACTAGGTTTTGGATTAATAGCAAGAGTGTAGTTAATTGCACTGAATCTGTCTGTCGTTGTTGCTGCTGCTGCTGTTGGGCGGGTTGAGTTTGGACGTCACTATTTGTTTTGTTTTTGTAATGTTCATTTCTAAGAACACAAACCTTCACCGGGAAATGTTACGTTTCTTCCATGAAGCACCTGTCATCAGCGGTGCACTACATTGTTAATGGTTTCAGTCCAAAATAAGAGCCATATTTTAATAGATGATATTCACACTCTTAACGTGTAGCAAGATCATTAACAAAATGTATTAATCACCTCTTGGATGGAAATTCTTCACATCTTTTTCCAACAGATCAGTATATTACAGTGATTCCCAGCCTTATTGGCTTGTGACTCCTTAAAAGAATACTCAAAACAATACAGCAGCCAGTTAGCTTAGCTTAGAGTAGAGACTGGAAACTTTGGGAAACAGTTAGCCTTGCTCTGTATAAAACTGGCCTTGCATTGCTAACTCACAAATGAATATCATATCTCATTTGTTAAGGCTTATGTACTGACTATTTCTTGGCTAGGACCAGTGATTTCCTGGAATCTCTGTAAATTGCCTGGCAACTGGTTAAGCTAAGCTAACAGGCTGCTCACTAGTTCCTCTAGCTAAATATGAGAGAGTAGTATCGATCTTCGCAGCAAGAAAGTGAATAAGCGTATTCCTTTAAATTGAAGCCATGTCTACTTGTGACCGCTCATGAGTTTTGAGCAGTAATTTTTCTTTTTACTTTTAAGTTTTACATGAAGAATTTTTAGAGACTGCAAAAGGTAAAGGTTTCCAGTGTTTTACAGTAATAAAAGAGAAATTAAGTTTTGGTTACCCCTCAGATTTACCGTGGGACCCATTTGGTTCAGAACCACTAGCCTAGTTTATAGATATACTTTTTCTTTCAGCAGTTACAATGTATTTGTACATCTATGGCTTATTCTCAATTGTTTAATTAGATTAGCCACCGCAGTGCGTTGGGAAAGAAAATGAAATTCATGCCATAGTTAACGACAGGAGGAAAGTTGTGGGAAAACAAATATGCAAACTGCTATTTATTTTATTTTTTTAAGTAACAACCTATTAATGGATTAGGCTCCAGAGTACATCCTCAACAACCTTTACTTCATGTGTACAATTCCTGATGAACACACTCGACTCTGAAACGCCTCGTCAGCTCAGCAGATTGTTTGTCCGTGGACTGCCTTTAACATGGTGGTGTGCGGATGTTTAAAGTGCACTACAGATTAAAGTGTTTGTTATTAAAAATTGTATTTTTAATATTATTGTGATTATTGAGTTAATTTGCCTTTGTTCTGTAATTATGTTGACAATAAAAGACTGGCCAGACTGTTGATGAGTGTCATTGTTTTTGTGTGCTAGGCTTAATAAGAAAAACAACAACTAGTAAGTAACAACTAGTAAGTCCTGGTTTGAAGACCCAAGTGGCCTGGAGGTGATATATGGGGGAAGCTGGTTGGAAATGTAATGTAAATGTACCTTAAACTGAGTCCTGAAACGGATAGGGGGCCATTGTAATGACAACAGGATGGGTGTAATGTGACTTGTCCTGCTAAGCATGGTTAACAGCCTTGCAGCAGCTTTCTGGACATTTATAGGTGGTCCCGGTACGACTTGCGGAGGCAGGTGAAAAGGAAGTTAAAGTAGTCTAACCAGGATGAAATGAATGCATGATCATGTAGTTCTGGTTTGAGACAGGCAATGTTTCTTAAATGAAAGAAACTGACAAAAAACGTTTTGTTTTATAGGAAGTTGGGTTGCAGCCAAGTTTAATTTTCCTGATTCAGTCATTCATTTTTTTGTATGTGAGATATCAGAAAATAAGAACAAATAGAGTCCTACATGCCCTCTTTTATTTGCTATTTTGGCAAAAGCAACATCAAAACAAACAAAACAAACAATAGTTTCAGTTTTAGATGGTTAGAGACAAGGGAAAAATGCAAATCCTCACATTGGAGAGGCTTTACAAATGGGTCATTTTTATTTGATGAATTACTTAAAAGTAATGGTATATTCAAATCTTTGTTAATTAACCAAATGTAGATTGAAATTGTGACTAATTTACTAACTATTAGGAATGGGGTGCAAGTGATCGATCTTGAAATGCCCTTGTAGGAACAAATAGAAAATCAGTCTTTACAACAGCAATAATAGTTTTAAGGTAAAAAAAAAAAATCCAAAATGGAAAAAGTATTCAATATAAGTTCTACAATATATAAGTTTATTGCAATCGGTCTTCTTTTAGCATCCTGTGGAGTCGCCCCCCGCTGGCCATTAGACAGAGTGCAGGCTTAAGGCATATCCGCAGTGGCTTCGTTTTTTCAGACCAGATTGATGCCGCTTGGTTCATGAGTTTGTTGGATGTCAGC